CCGCTTCCCGTCAAAGGGATGTGTCCCCACGACGAAGGGAGCATGGTGCGGAGAGGCCCAGGGAAGGGCGTAGGCACCAGAGAAATCGGCAAGCTAGAGATGAAGCCCCTATCCACGAGGTGGACACCATATTTGGAGACCCCTATGTTGGCGACGAAACATGAAATGTCAAAAGGAACTACGCCCGGGAGGCTAAACGCCCCCCTTTGACAAGCTACATTGTGGGTAGCAGCTCTGAAAAAACTAGGTTCCACCCATTGTATTTTCCCAGGAAGACGCAGAGGGAGTTCATTACCCCCACTGCGATGCACTTGTGGTGAGGGTTGTCATAGCCAGGAATGGGCTCAAACGAATTTTAGTTGACAACGGCAGCTCCGTCAACATTCTATTCGGATCCGCCTTTGATAAAATGATATTGGATCATCAGCTGACGCCCACCACCACTCCATTGTACGAGTTTACAGGAGATAGCATCACTCTGAGAGGAAAGATAACACTAGCAGTAGAGATGGGAGAATCCCCACGAACAACGACGAACTTCATGGAGTTCCTCATTGTTGACAGCAGGTCGGCGTACCATGGGGTGTTGGGCAGACCAGCCCTGAAGGAACTGGGAGTAGTCACCTCCATCCACCACCTGTGCATGAAATTTCCAACAAAAAATGGGGTGGCAACGGTAAGAGGCGACCAAAGAGGCTCAAGAGAATGCTACCTAAGCTCCATCAAGAAGGCAAAGCCCTGGGACATCCATGTAATCATAGCTGACGTGGTCATGGCTGACGTCCTAGGTGATGCTCCCACCGACCAAGAAGATGTTGATATGATCGATGCACCACCTAATTTAGAGGCGCTGGTCATTGATGAAATTGACCCCCGCATCATGGAACATGAGCCTCAGGCATCTCTAGTAGAGGAACTTGAGAGCTTTTCAGTAGACCCCCGAGACCCATCAAAGGTGCTGAAGGTAGGCAAATGCCTAGCCAATGTTTAGAAGGAAAAGATTAAGGATTTTTCGAGCAAGAATCTCGATGTCTTTGCCTGGAAGCATGAGGACATGGTAGGCATAGACCCCAAGGTTAGCTGTCACCACCTGAAAATTGATCCCAAGGTTGCCCCGTATAGACAAAAAAAGAGAGCCCTCAACCCTGAAAGGTATGAGGCCCTAAAGGAAGAAGTTCAGAAGCTCATCCAAAACGGCTTCATCCGAGAGGCAACCTACCCTAGATGGGTCTCCAACCCAGTTTTGGTAAGGAAAAACAACGGCAAGTGGAGGGTGTGCATTGACTTCACCAACCTCAACAGAGCTTGCCCAAAAGATAGTTTTCCACTCCCAAGGATTGACCAACTCGTGGATTCCACAGCTGGGCACGAGTTGTTGAGCTTCATAGACACGTACTCTGGCTACAACCAAATCCCCATGCACCCGACCGATGAAGAGCACACCTTTTTCATTACGAACCGAGGCCTCTATTGTTATAGAATGATGCCCTTCGGGTTGAAAAACGCCGGAGCAACCTACCAAAGACTCGTAAACAAGATGTTTGTGGACCTCATTGGCAAAACAATGGAGGTCTGCGTGGACGACATGCTAGTAAAAAGTATGGAGGCCAAAGACCACATAAAGCATCTCAACAATACTTTCCAGATCCTAAGAAGATATAGGATGAGGCTCAACCCCCACAAGTGCGCCTTTGGGGTAGCCTCATGCAAGTTTTTGGGGTACATGGTCAACCAATGGGGAATTGAGGCCAATCCCGAGAAGATTGAGGCTTTATGCAATATGAGGTCCCCCCAAAAGTCGAAGGAGGTGCAGAGTCTTACCGGGCGAGTGGCCGCACTTAGCCGCTTTGTGTCCAAAGCTACGAACAAATGCCTCTCCTTTTTCAAAGTATTGAAGGCTGGGAAGAAATTTTAGTGGACCGAGGAATGTGAAGAGGCTTTCCAATGCTTGAAAGGGCACTTGGGGCAAGCCCCCTTCCTTTCCAAACCAAAGCCCGGTAATATCCTACAACTATATCTGGCTGTCTCCAATGAGGCCATCAGCTCGGTTCTAATACGAGAAGAAGGATCCACCCAACTCCCCGTGTACTACACAAGTAAAGCGCTCCTATTGCCGAAAACCCGTTACCCCGATATGGAGAAGCTCGCTTTGGCTTTGATCACGGCCTCTAGGAAATTGAGACCCTACTTCCAAGCTCACACCGTTCATGTACTGACAAATTTTCCCCTGAGGCAAGTACTCCAAAAGCCTGACGCCTCAGGAAGGTTATTGAAATGGGTGGTAGAACTAAGTGAATTTGACCTTGTATTCAAGACTAGGGCGGCCATAAAAGGGCAAGCCTTAGCTGACTTTGTGGCTGAATTCGCCAACCTACCCGAGGTGGACGAAATCATGGAACCTATCGAACGTCCCACGTGGAATCTTTTCGTTGACGGGTCAGCTAGGGATGTTGGTTTTGGTGCTGGGGTTGTCCTCATCAGCCCCGAAGGTGACAAGCTCACCTCGACGGTGAGGTTCGGTTTCAAAGCTACCAATAACGCAGCAGAGTATGAGGCTCTCCTTGCGGGCCTCAGGCTGGCCATCGAAATGCAAGTAAAGAGGTTGCTCATCAGTAGTGACTCCCAGCTGGTTGTTAGCCAAGTGAATGGTAACTTCTCCGCCAAAGACAAAACGATGGCCTCCTACGTGAAAATGTTGTTGAATCTCATCCCATCCTTCGAAAAGTTTGAGTTGATCCAGATCCCTCGCATCGAAAATGCGCACGCTGATGCACTATCAAAGCTAGCTAGCAGCAAGGACTTGGAGCTACTCACAGTAGTACCTATTGAGCACCTCCTCCTGCCTTCGATCGAGGCCCCAACTGTAATGTGGGTCGCTGGGACTCCCACTTGGATGCAACCAATCGTAGCATACCTCAAAGACCAAGCACTGCCAACTGAAAAAAATGAGGCCTACAAACTAAGAAGGAGGTCGGCCCACTTCCTCTTCATTGATGACATTCTCTACAAGAGAAGCTTCTCCTCCCCACTCCTACGGTGCGTCGGAGAAGAAGAGGCTACCTACAGAGGGAAGTCCACGAGGGCGTATGCGGCAACAACTTTGGAGGGCTATCTCTGGCGCAGAAAATATTGAGGCAGGGGTACTATTGGCCCACACTAAAGCGAGACGCCCTCGAGTTTTTACGAAAATGCGATAAATGCCAGCGTTTCTCTCCGGTGCAGTGACAACCATCGCAGGAGCTGACCACCGTCTCTAGCCCCTGGCCTTTCTCAAAATGGGGTGTGGATCTCATACGTCCCCTACCTAAAAGTAGAGGAGGGGCAAGTTTTGCAATTGTGGCTATTGATTACTTCACGAAGTGGGTCGAAGCCGAACCATTGGCAAAAGTCACTGAAGCCAACACCTCCAAGTTCTTATGGAAAAATATTATTTGCTGGTTCGGGATTTCCCACTCAATCGTCTCAGACAATGGCAGACAGTTTGACAACAAGAAGGTTAGAGAATTATGCGAAGAGCTTGGCATAAAAAAGCACTTCTCCATACCTCACCACCCACAAGCAAACGACCAAGTCGAGGCCGTGAATAAGACGATTAAGCACTTCTTGAAAAGGAAGTTGGATGTATCAAAAGGGGTCTGGGTTGATGAGCTGTCCCAAGTCCTTTGGGCAATCTGAACCACCACCAGGACCCCAACAGGAGAAACACCCTTCCTCATGGCATTCGGAACTGAGGCTATGAGCCCCGTGGAGGTTGGACTTCCATCCCCAAGACGTCTGCACTTCAGCGAGATAACTAACGATGAGCTTCGGAGGCTCGACCTCGACTTCATCGAAGAAAGGAGAGATGAATCCCAATTGAAGCTCGGCACATATCAGAGAAAGATGGCGAGGTATTTCAACTCGAAAGTCAAGAAGAGGTCATTCCGAATCAACGACCTTGTACTTAGGAGAGTCTTCGTTTCCTCAAAAGAACCTGGTTCCGGTACCCTTGGCCCAAACTGGGAAGGTCCATACAAAATCAGAGAAGAAGTCCAACGTGGGACTTACTGGATTGAAGACATAAACGGCAAGGCACAACCCCGACCATGGAACATTGAACACCTCAGAGTCTACTACCAATAAATGTACTATCTTGCTGGACGACCTTTCCCAGTCCTTGTAACATTTCTATGGTTCAATAAAATTCGGTGATTAAATTGGCGTATTGAACTACCTCGTCACCTCGGAGGAGAGGCTCGTGTCCCACCTCTGGGCCACCTTACTTGAGCTCCGAGGCTCTAGCACATGCCTCCCTTTGACCAAAATAAACAAAATGCCAAGGAGAGAAGCCTCAACATGGCTGTGCCACCCACTGTGGCTGGGATGCTTCCTCACCTCGGAAGAGAAGCTTACACCCCACCTCTGGGCCGCCTCGATTGAACTCCGAGGCTATAGCACATGCCTTCCTTTGGCTAGACAAAATGCCAAGGGAAGAAGCCACCTCATATGCAATAAATTTGAGGTTCGTTGCTTAAAGTCCGAGGCTCAAACAGTTGTTTAAAGTTCATTTGCTTAAGTAAAGTTCATTTGCTTAAAGCTCGAGGCTCAAACAGTTATTTTACTTAAATCCAAGGTTCATTGCTTAAAGTCCGAGGCTCAAACAGTTGTTTAAAGTTTATTTGCTTAAGTAAAGTTCATTCGCTTAAAGCCCGAGGCTTAAACAGTTATTTTGCTTAAATCTGAGGTTCATTGCTTCAAGTACGAGGCTCAAACAGTTGTTTAAAGTTCATTTGCTTAAGTCCGAGGTTCAATCCAGTTGTTTAAAATAATTGAAGTTAAAGTACCAAGTTAGAGTTTAGTTGGTGCTGCTGCCAACCTTTATGTTCATTTGCTTAAACGAGGTGCGTACACTTGATAAAGAAACAACGATGAATGAAATAGGCATTATATTAATCTTCAAAAAGATTACAAAAGGGGGCCTCAAGCCATTACATTCAAAAAATACTGAAAAGAGAACTAATCTAAACTTCGGTAGATGGGGGAGGTGCTTCTGTACTTGGGCCTTCAGCAGCTTGAGCATCGACATTTACCTCCCCAGCCTCAGTTGCTTCATTACCATGCACGTCCTCAGCAGGGGTCTAAAGTACCTCATTCATGAATTCAGACCTAAGTTGAGTCAGGTCCAAATTGGGATACAGTTCCTTTGCCCGCTCCATCACCTCAGCATAGGCAAAGTTTCTCCAGTATGCGCTGAAGCTCTTATATTCGTCCGTGTTGTGGAAGTTGCCAACATACTCTTGCACCGCCTCTTCCCTCGCCAGCTGGGCCTCCTCTCTGGCATGGGACGCATCATCCACATACCATTTGAGTTGGGTTTCCAAGAATCGGTTGGACTCTTGGGCACCCACCAAAGAGAGATTGGCCTTCTCCAGGGCTTCAACAGTCACTTTCTGGTGCTCATTGGAGACCTCCACTTTCTTTGTTAGGGATGCCATCTCGCACTGTGACTCATGAACTTCCTTCTTCAAAGCCTCAATCTGGGCCAAGGCAGACTCAAGCTTGGCCATTTCTTCAAGTTTTTGGCCTCTGGCTTCCTCCGCCTCGACCCTAGACACCTTAACCTCCTCTGCAAGGGAGGCCGTCTTCTCCTCTGAAGATCTGGTCCTTGATTGAAAATCACTTAGGGCCTCATTGCATTCAAGAGCGAGGCCAAAAGTTCTGACGCTTTGGCTTACCAACGCCCTCGTCAGGTCGAATGCATCGCAGGAGGAGGTATGCAACTGCCATCTGTCGGTCCAGAGCCGGTAAAGTTCTCAGTGGCGCTTCGAACCTCCTCTGGAAGAGCTTCCACCAAGGTTGGGGCCAAGGTCTCCTCCCTTCCAGCTAGGAAACTTGGCGACTTCACCTTTTCCCGAGCAGGCTTTTGTTTAGCTACCTCCTCCTCGGCAGCCTTAGCAGCCCTCCTCCCTAGCCTCCTCAGCCTTAGCCTCCCTGACCATTTCTATCTTGATGGCTTTGGAGGTAGATGCGAGCAGCTTCGGCTCGCCTGTAGATTTGGCCTCATGGGACACTGATGTCCCAAATTTCCCGAACGAGATGGTAACGTGCACCAGCTTTCTCCTTTTCACCTCCTCTGGGACCTTCTCTTTCTCCCGAGGCTCTTTTGGCCTCTTCTGCCTTTGGGAAGCTCCCTCTTCGGGAGCCTTTGGAGTGCTGTCCTTGGAAAGGCGTTCCACCTTGCCTTGGACCTCCTTGGCCCCACTAGACCCCCGCTTCAAGGCCCTAGCCTTGGTGGTGGTGGTGGCCTTCAGAATTGTGGCCATATCTGGAGCTGGGTACTCCTTCCTCTTGAATTTATCTGCAAAAGAACGTCAGGTCAGCACATCAGTATCCAATCAAAAGGACAAGGAAATTTACAACTGTGGGAGCCTCGTACCTCTGGATGCCATCAATCCAAAATCCAGGAAATAGCGACTCCTGTCAATCAGGTGGTCAAAATGCCGGAGCTTCAGAGGCCTTTTGTAGATGTCCTCTATCACCTCGAACTCTTCCCTGCTGAGCTCGAACCTCGTACTACAATCTGCAATGGAAGCCCCAACAGTTAGAAGTTTTCTAAGTGTTCAATTCGGAGACTTACGAGCTTCGTAGTACTGGGTCGGCACTGTGCAAGAAAGGGCCTTGTCCCCCTCCACTGCCTGCCATTTTCCTCGCACCCAGAACCAGGACTCCTTCCACCCCTTAATGGAGGAAGGTAGTCCCACCACAAAGGGTGCGTGAGCCCCCCAAGGTGTAAGATAATACCACCCCCCGGACTCCTTCCCTATGATCCGGGGCTGGAAAAGAGTCATGAATACATGGAGAGGCATGTCGTCTCCAAGTGACACCTCTTTCCACAGGAAGTATGAGCCGACCAACTGGCTCCACCCATTTGGCAGAACTTGGGTCGGCGACAACATAAAATTCCTCAGCACCGCCCTAAAAAAGGGGTACAGAGGAAGACGCATACCTGCCTTAAACAGATATTCACTGACAGCCACGCATCCGGACCTCGGATAGCAGGCCCACTCATTCGGTTCGGGAACTAGTATCTCTACGGTGTGGGGGACACTGTATCTATCCCTGATCTCCCCTAACCTCTTCCACGTCATACTTGAGGGCACCCTAGACGCCCCCTACTCTTCGGTATAGTCTATTGGGTCTTCGGTCATGGCATAACTATCAGCCTCGGCATCTCCCCTCTGACTGACCCCATAATCTAACGACGCCACCGTCACCAGCTCCCTACCCGAGGTGGACTCCATCTCACAGAATTAACACAAAAAAATAAGGTTTTCCTGCAAATGATACTTAAGGGAAGAACACTACGAACGAAGATAAGCCAGAAAATCGAAAAAACAGGCTGCCCTGACGCTGGAAAATTCAGAAATTTGAGAGAGAATCAAATTGCAAAGTTCCAAAAGTTCTAAAAAATGGGATTTTCTCACCTTTTATAGAGCTCCAGGATGAACCCTAGCCGTCAGATCGAATCTCAGTCGATCTGAGCCCTTCATTGTAGATCAAATCCGAGGCATTGAATTCAAACAGTTTTTCAAACCCGTGCCTCAGATTTAAGCGTGCTTTCCACGTGCCCCACCCAACGCGTCTGCTTCTAGAAGTTCCAACTGTCATCATAATTGTATTTTTAATTTGATGGCAGCAGGCGCCTTGGAAGTCGTAACGGTTCAGCCACTTTTTCTCGAAAACAAGCACAAAACATCAAATCATTGGCACAGCTGTCAAGGCACAATTATTACCATTCAGCCTCGGCTTTTCTTCAACATTCAGCCATCAAACCTCGCAGGTTCGGTTTCCCAATCACCTCGGCTTTCTCTTCAACATTCAGCCATCAAGCCTCGCAAGTTCGGTTTTCCAATCACCTCAGCTTTCTCTTCAACATTCAATCACAACATAGCCAACAAATCAAGTTCGATTTTACAACCATCTCAGTGTCGTCATCAACATCAACACAGCCTCGGTCTCTTCATCGTTCACCCACGGCAACACATTTCTAATTCCAACTCTGATATAAATATCTACACTTGGACTTGGGAGACTATTGTTGTGTGTGGTCATACGTGGCCAATCCACCTAGGTCAATATGGCCCACTCAGGGCGAACCACATGGCACTCCAGCCGAGGTGGCATAGAATGCCGAGTTGGGCAATGGCCGAAGCCCTTCAAGCCAAAGTGGCATAGAATGCCGAGGCGCCTTTTTACCGAGGCCTATGAACGTACCTGAGGTCCACATGCCGAAACCCGTGAGCCGAAGCCATGATGCTGAAACTAGCTGAAGATAGCTGAGACCCTCAAGTGGAAGTATCATGTGAAATGGCCGAAGCCCCGAAGCAGATGCAGGAGCCTCCGATCCACAAGGGAGTGTCTTTCATGTTCACTTCTCCCAAGAGATCGTCTGCATAAAGATCTTATTCGAATGATTGATGGAACGTTTGTCATAAGCATAAAGGTCAAGTCTTGTCACTAGTATGGAGGCCCTGCACAAAGCAATAAATGCACAGCAAGCTAGCAAGTCAAGCCCCATGCCTAGGATGTGATGTTTGAATTAAAGAGATGAGGTCACGTGCCACCTCATCCAAGGGCTCCCATTTCATATATATCACTATAAATACTTCCCTTGTGTAACATCAAAAGGTTAATGCAAGAATCAATACAAAGAACTATACTTTACTCAACTCTCTCTCTCTCTCACTTACTGGTAATACACAAATCGAGTTTATACACATTTACATGCACATTTACGAACATCGGTTGGTAATTATTGTACAATCGGATCACGAACAACTCGTCGGATTCCGAATGTCACTGTCCCGCGTCGTTGGGCTACTCCCACGCCCTTTGAACTGCTCGTTTTAGACCATCTACGTGTCTTAGCGTGTTGGACATACGCCCACGTGTGCGTGGTGGGACCGACATCTGTTGGCAATACTTTTTGGGGTCAATGGCAACAATCATAGCCAATGCCCAGACAACGATTGCTGCAGTTCCGCTGACCGCTGCAGTTGTTCTTGTGCTTAATCTTTTTAACAATGTTCTTGCTTTCCATGGTGGTATGTGTTGGTTGAACGTGGGGAAGAAGATGGAGTGGGCGCGGGGTGGGGGGTGAAAAATAAAGTTTTAAAAATGTGGGATCATGTGTGACACATATAAAAAATTAAATATAATTTGCCAAAAAAAAAAAAGGGTAGTTTGTCTACTACAACTATAATTATTTATTTTTAATTTTGACATTTTTTTACTAATTTTAACGGCAAATTCATGATATGTGGTATTTCGTACAAGGATTCCTCCATCTTACATGGGATGGGGCCCATTTGAATATTTTATTCGAGTGGACTCCACCCCATGTGAGATAGAGGACATCATGATGTACCAATCTTTATGTACACCTAGCATCTCTCTTTCGTGCAAAAAGGTTTCAAATAGAAGGTTTTTTGCGATTTTCAATAGGTAGGTGATATATCGTACATAAAAACGTTTCTAGAGGATTTTCTGCTATTAATTCAAAAATAATTAATTCCTGATTTTTTGAAATTAAAAATTAAAATGTAGGATTTTTGGTATTCCATTTAACAATAGTTCGCGGGCTCGGCAGTTAAGTTCTGAATCAAAAGGTTCCAAACCTTTAAACGGCCCCCACGCGGAAACGTCAAAGCACGTTTTTAACCCTCTTTCCCGCGAAAATCTCTCCCCCTAAATGGCACCCCACACCCTCTCTCCCAATCCATAATCTGAATATCTTCGTCCAAATTTTCTTCTCGCTAAATTTCCAATTTAAATGAAATTGAATTCACAATGTCGAGTTCTAGACGAAATGCAGCCACCTCCGATCACAAGGATTTTTTACGAAAAATTCCTCCGATCTCCATTAGGCGCAGAGGAAATGTTGATGGAAATGAAGAGGAGGAGAATCTTGATTTAGGTAAGAATGAGTCGGAGAGGGGGAAATCGTTAATTGTTGAGCCCTCCAGCTCCATGCTCGGCCTAAATCAACTCAGGACCCAGTCGGTTCCTCTGCCTCTTGATTTCGGGAATTTGGGGGCCAGTAATAATGAAGGAAAAGATGGATGCAATTCGCCAGCTAAATCGTCTTCCACTTCCCAACGATCTGCTGTCGATTCTATTGAACAAGGTCAGAATTTGATTTCTTCGATATGTTTATGTAAGCGTGCATGTGCATATACATGGTGGACAGTGCACTCAGTTATTAGTATGAATGTGCATGGTAATATATTCTAATATTGAATTTGAAATGTACAATTGAAACCACATAAATAAATCTGTGCTAGTGTTAGTGTTAATTAGCTGGCAGAGAATGTAGAATGAGGATTAACTATTGCTGATTCAATGATATTATATAGTTCTTCACTTTAGGGTTTGAGAATCACGATACAATTTTACTATACTAGATGAGAAAACCAGAGAAATGATGCCAAATTTGAATCAGTGAGTACAGAAACATCATTTAACCATTAAGGCCAACTGTTTCAGGAAAAAAATAATAATAAATAATAAAATATATATATAACGAGGTCTGATAATTTTGATTTCCTTTTACTTGCCATTTGGATTATTTGGAAAATATTCCATAAAATTTAGTAGTCTAAGCTCAAATTCCAAATATTCCATAAATTTGATTGTCTAAGCTCAAATTTAAGTCAAAATGTACATCTAAATGGTATGTTACTATTTGTAGGTAAAAAGGTCCAACGGAGTCAATCAAAACCTTTGAGAATTCCTTTGCCCCACCGTTCCGGGTCAGAGGTAATCACACTCCACTTCTTCATGGTTGTTCTATTCTATTAGAAGTTTTAGAGGTCTCTTCTATAATATTAAATTAGAATGAATGAATTAGGTTGCTGAGCTTCAAGTCTCTGTGCTTTTCCTAGGGTTACAATGCAGCTTTTGTCAAGGAAATACAGTCTCCACGTTTCCAGGCTATTCTGCGTCTAACAAGTGGTCGCAAAAAGAGAGCACCAGAAATTAAGAGCTTCTCTCATGAACTCAATTCAAAAGGTGTCCGACCATTTCCTTTCTGGAAATCTCGTGCTGTTGGTCGTGTGGAGGTATGCAGGATACACCATGTACCCTCCTGTTTCTCCTCATGAATGCAAATATTTTGGCTTGTCACACGTATTTTTGTGTTTTCGTCATTCATTTTTCTCATTCTCAACAATGCATTTAACTTGCGATATCAACTCTTTCCAGGAGATTATGCTGATAATTCGGTCAAAATTTGATAAATTAAAGGAAGAGGTGAATGCTGACTTGGGTATCTTTGCTGGGGATTTGGTGAGTATACTTGAGAAGACTTCAGAATCTAATCATGAATGTAAAGAAGGTTTGGAGGATTTGTTAGTTATAGCCAGGCAGTGCGCAAAGATGTCACCCAATGAATTTTGGTTAAATTGTGAAAGCATTGTACAGAATCTAGATGATCGCCGTCAAGAACTACCCATGGGAACTCTCAAGCAAGGGCATACACGCCTCTTATTTATTCTCAGCCGTTGCACTCGGCTTGTTCAGTTTCAAAAGGAGAGTGGTTATGGAGAAGATCACATTCTGCCTTCACACCAACTTAGTGACCTCGGTGTCTACCCTGAAGGTGTTCTTGGGGCATCACAGGGTTGGAAAGAAACTGATGAAAGACAAACTTACGAAGTCCATGAACAGGACCAAAATAATACAAATGCCAAACAAGACCATGTAATTGAAGAGGTTAGCACTGCAAAGAGTGCTGCTTCATCCACAGGAAGCTATAGGATGTCATCTTGGAAAAAACTTCCATCTCCAGTTGAGAAAAACCGGAAATTCCATGACATTGTTGATGCCCCTTCTAAGGATAAATCTGATGAACTGCAACAGAAAGAAGAAATGGATAGTGCTGAAAATCTTGATACTCCAGTCTATCAGCCTGAACAGTCAGAAGATTCCTTAAAGGTAGGTCAAATAACATGGGGAGTGTGGGATCAACACCAAATGGCATACGAGGATTTATTGATATGCCGTATATGTGAAGTTGAAATACCAACAATTCATGTTGAACATCACTCTAGAATTTGTACAATTGCAGATAGATGTGATTTAAAAGGATTACCCGTAAATGAACGGCTTGAAAGAGTTGCAAAGACCCTTGAAAGAATACTTGAATCATGGACACCAAAAAGCACAAGCACTGGGTTGGAAAGTCCTGAAGTGGCAAGAGTGTCTATGGCCAGTTTACCAAAAGAGTTGGATGAGTTGTCACCAGAGCGTAACAGCTTGTCTTTCCAATGTTATGAAGACATGTTGGATTGCATTTATGAGGCTGATAACTCTTCTCCCTTGGATGATCTCCACTATTGTCCTCAAGTATCATGTGAAAATTTTACCTCTATACCTGATCATATTAAGAAAACCTTATCACCATTGACACCTCGATCACCTTTAGTAACACCACGGACAAGCCAAATAGAGCTTCTGCTGAGTGGACGGAAAACAATATCTGAATTTGAAAGTTATCAGCAGGTAATGATTTAAAGCTTACACTAATAGACTAGAGAACAAGAAATGCCAACTACAGTGTTTTATTTTGTAACTCATAAATCACTTTTTACTTTACAAGACAAGGCAATTGTTTTCCTTTGTGATCCTTATGTAAATTCATCCTTACTTGAGCTTTGTGATATAACAGAATTGTGAGCTGTTTCCAACTTTTCTGTACTAGAACACCAACTGCTGATTTTTCCTCTTTTTGTGCATTTAAATTCAGTTCACAGGTTTCAATCAGTTTTAGTTCATTTTCAAACACTGTTTTTAGAAAGTTTTTTTTGACTTAGGCTTTATTTGTTTTCCATTCTACCACATTATTTTTTCTACGGTACTTATTTTCAACTACACATTCTTCATTAGAATAATATTACACGTAAATCAAAAACTTTTCTGTCTTTTTTAACTACACATTTCAATATCAATCACTATTCTATAATACATTACTTACAAATAATGGGGTGCAAACAAGCACTTAATATGTCTTAAATTTCGTTAACTGATGCTTTTGCCTTGTGAGATACAGGTAAATAAGTTTCTTGTTGTTTCTTGGCTGTAATTTATATTTTGAAAAACAATGCTAGCAATCTAACTTTGTAACTACACCATGAAATGGTAAGACAGATTCATAAGCTGTTGGATATTGCTCGATCTGTATCCATTGTCAACAATAATAACTACACTACCTTGGAGTATATGCTCGAGCGTTTAGAAGACCTCAAATATGCGATTCAGGATAGGAAGGTGGATGCTCTTGTCGTTGAGACATTTGGGAGACGCATAGAGAAACTATTGCAGTAAGCTCAATTTTCTCAAGTTAACATTTATCCATTGGTTACTGTATTCTGCATTACATATGGAAATTTTTCTGGTCTGGGGCCATAAGGTCAGTTGAGCCACTGAAGATTGGTTAGGGCTTTGCTTGTCTTGAGAGGCTTGTTGGATAAATTATTAAAGAAACACAAGTTCATATGAATATGAGCTTGCTGAGGCCATTTATATGCTAAAAACACATTCATAATATTCTACAAAAGCTCTAGGATTTCAACCTCGGGTGATATAATCCGAAAACATATTTTTAGTTGTCATGTGATAATAAATGAGAACAATGAATCAATAGAAGAGTCAACTAACCTAATGACCATTATGGATAGCAGCCTAATGTGATCCCTGGGGAAGAGGATCAAGTTGGCCCTTGATGTTCTGAAAATATGCCAGACTATCATCATATGCTGAACACAAATGAAGAATATAGAAGTGAGTGCATTCTGCAATAGTTGACGAGATAAAAGATGACCAAGTGAAGAGCTGATAGTGGGGGATGACACTTTGTTTAATGGAAGTCACGTATTTTAGTGCAATTTCATATTATTACTCTGCACAATGCATGTATACAGTCAAGAAATTATTTAGTGTTGTAAATCATTTCAATCTAGAATTTTAAGCTTTTAGAGAGAGAACAAACATATATTTGCATTATGTTCTCAACATCCCCCGTCCAGTACACACATACATATTTCTTCAAAGATCTGGAACGAACACAATTTTCATAAGTAGGTAGCAAGAATATACCCTACTTCTTTACAAAAAAAATTTATTCTTGACTTCAATTTGTCTCTCTTGAACTCGACAGGGAGAAATATGTACTTCTATGTGGGCAGATAGATGATGAAAAGGCGGAGTTATCAAATACCATGGCTGATGATGATAGTAAAATGGAAGATGATATAGTTCGTAGTTTGCGTGCAAGCCCCATTGTTCCATGTACTAAGGATCGAACATCTATTGAAGATTTTGAAATAATTAAACCTATAAGCAGAGGTGCTTTTGGACGAGTTTTTCTGGCCAGGAAAAGGGCAACTGGTGATTTATTTGCTATAAAGGTCTGACTCTATGCCAAGATCAAAAGGTGTATAATCATGAATTTGAGATTGTTTAGACCAGATCATTTTAATTTGTTTAAACCTAAAACATGCCAATGAATTAAGAGATTAAGTGAATGAAATTTTGTACTACGGCATTGACATGACATAACCACGTGTTCATGAAAATATTTCCATTAGTAGCACTTCAGTGTTATCAGTGTAATGAGAATAGATAAGCTTTTATGATTGTACTTTAAATAACCTGATGCAGCATTTTTCTATAAACAGTCATTATTGGAAATTTACAGGTTTTGAAGAAGGCTGATATGATTCGCAAAAATGCAGTAGAAAGTATCTTAGCTGAACGTGATATTTTAATATCAGTTCGCAATCCTTTTGTGGTGAGCAGATGCTATATTTTAAAACTAGGTGGAGATTGCACCTACTTTAGTGGAAGTAGAACATAAACCTTGTTTACTAATTTATAATATTAATGTGAACAGGTCCGGTTTTTCTATTCTTTCACATGTAGGGAAAATCTATATTTGGTTATGGAGTACTTAAATGGAGGAGATCTTTTCTCTTTGCTGAGGAACCTAGGCTGCTTGGAGGAAGATATGACACGCATATATATTGCAGAAGTTGTAAGGACTGTAATTATTATTGCATTAAATTACAGATGCTGATTGCTATTTTATGTTTTTCTCCTCAATGATCAGTATATCTTTATTTCTTTCAGGTTCTTGCTTTAGAGTATCTGCACTCATTAAATGTCATTCATAGAGACTTGAAGCCAGACAACTTATTGATAGGTCCAGATGGTCACATCAAGGTCAATAAGTAAAAGTGTTACTATACTCCCTCCTCATCTTATTCAAGACACTTTCCATTTTCAGATAACTTGTGAAAACGTTACAATCCACAAATTAAAAATGCTATATATTTTGATTCCTAAGTTGCTTGTGTAAAGTTAGAAATTGAAGTTTGAGAGAAGAATGTGTCTTGATATTTAATCTCACATCAAAACATGTGTTAAAAACTGGAGGGCACAAATGAAATTTTAAGTTGTAAGAGTGAAGGTATATTTCATAAACTTTGTGCCCAAAGGTGTTTGACAAGTAATATGAAACGGAGTGAGTACTTCATTATAGTAATATTCTTATTTTGAACATTTTGTTTGATGCTTACCCTTTTACATCTAATCTTTCATTTTAGTGTCATTCCCACAGTGAGTATAGGTGTCATCAAAGTTTGATTCTCCAGAAAGTTGACATCCAAATTAACAAATTTTTCTGCGTTTGGTGTAGGGATGATAGCGTTTATACCCTCTTTGAGGGATAACCTAAGAATACACACTTAGGATCAAGTTTTCCTCTCAAATGTTGATGGACATATATGTACGAGACAACCAAACACTTTAAAACATTTGAGGGTACCTATACTCACTTTACCTATTTAATAAGATTGGATGCCCTCCCGAGTTCTTAACTTTTAGTCATCTTAAGAAAAGCTTCAACACTGGTATTTACTTGAGTTGAACCCTCAAGATGGCTATCCCTGCCATCGCAAGTTAATCAAATCTAACTGATGTATTATGGACCTTCTTGATGTTTAGATCCTTTCAATTAATTGTGGCTCCTCTAACACCTCCTTTACTTTTGCTTCCCAATTCTCAAATCATTCTACTAACCATTGTATTTTTCAGTTCTCACAAATCTAATCCCTACTATTACAGTTGACAGATTTTGGGCTCTCCAGAGTTGGTCTTATAAACAGTACAGATGACTTATCTGGTCCATCTTCTTTACTTGGGGATGATAAACCAAAAGCTGCAGCACATTCATCAGTCAAAAGAGAACAACGGCAAAAGCATGCTGTTGTTGGAACTCCTGACTACTTGGCACCAGAGATACTCCTTGGCATGGGACATGGTTTGAATCTATCTGCTGATAAATTTATATTTCTATAAGAGTGAACAGTTGGCATTTATTGCTTTCTTTGTTATCAATTATGCTGTTGTCTTTATCTCTCTCTGATTTTCTTCTTTTAGGTGCAACAGCTGATTGGTGGTCTGTGGGTGTCATTCTTTTTGAGCTCCTAGTAGGAATTCCGCCTTTTAATGCTGAACATCCACATGTACGCTATCTTTCTGTGATAATCTTTGGGTTAGGTGATAAGATATTTTCCTTATGAGTATCTGCTTTTCCAATGTCTCTTTAGTTCTCAAGGTTTTGCACCAATACTATGCAAGCTAGTTAACCAATGGGATGCTAATTTTTCCTTTTCATTCTGGCACATTTTTAGAGAAATGATGCCAAATTTGAATCAGTGAGTACAGAAACATCATTTAACCATTAAGGCCAACTGTTTCAGGAAAAAAATAATAATAAATAATAAAATATATATATAACGAGGTCTGATAATTTTGATTTCCTTTTACTTGCCATTTGGATTATTTGGAAAATATTCCATAAAATTTAGTAGTCTAAGCTCAAATTCCAAATATTCCATAAATTTTATTGTCTAAGCTCAAATTTAAGTCAAAATGTACATCTAAATGGTATGTTACTATTTGTAGGTAAAAAGGTCCAACGGAGTCAATCAAAACCTTTGAGAATTCCTTTGCCCCACCGTTCCGGGTCAGAGGTAATCACACTCCACTTCTTCATGGTTGTTCTATTCTATTAGAAGTTTTAGAGGTCTCTTCTATAATATTAAATTAGAATGAATGAATTAGGTTGCTGAGCTTCAAGTCTCTGTGCTTTTCCTAGGGTTACAATGCAGCTTTTGTCAAGGAAATACAGTCTCCACGTTTCCAGGCTATTCTGCGTCTAACAAGTGGTCGCAAAAAGAGAGCACCAGAAATTAAGAGCTTCTCTCATGAACTCAATTCAAAAGGTGTCCGACCATTTCCTTTCTGGAAATCTCGTGCTGTTGGTCGTGTGGAGGTATGCAGGATACACCATGTACCCTCCTGTTTCTCCTCATGAATGCAAATATTTTGGCTTGTCACACGTATTTTTGTGTTTTCGTCATTCATTTTTCTCATTCTCAACAATGCATTTAACTTGCGATATCAACTCTTTCCAGGAGATTATGCTGATAATTCGGTCAAAATTTGATAAATTAAAGGAAGAGGTGAATGCTGACTTGGGTATCTTTGCTGGGGATTTGGTGAGTATACTTGAGAAGACTTCAGAATCTAATCATGAATGTAAAGAAGGTTTGGAGGATTTGTTAGTTATAGCCAGGCAGTGCGCAAAGATGTCACCCAATGAATTTTGGTTAAATTGTGAAAGCATTGTACAGAATCTAGATGATCGCCGTCAAGAACTACCCATGGGAACTCTCAAGCAAGGGCATACACGCCTCTTATTTATTCTCAGCCGTTGCACTCGGCTTGTTCAGTTTCAAAAGGAGAGTGGTTATGGAGAAGATCACATTCTGCCTTCACACCAACTTAGTGACCTCGGTGTCTACCCTGAAGGTGTTCTTGGGGCATCACAGGGTTGGAAAGAAACTGATGAAAGACAAACTTACGAAGTCCATGAACAGGACCAAAATAATACAAATGCCAAACAAGACCATGTAATTGAAGAGGTTAGCACTGCAAAGAGTGCTGCTTCATCCACAGGAAGCTATAGGATGTCATCTTGGAAAAAACTTCCATCTCCAGTTGAGAAAAACCGGAAATTCCATGACATTGTTGATGCCCCTTCTAAGGATAAATCTGATGAACTGCAACAGAAAGAAGAAATGGATAGTGCTGAAAATCTTGATACTCCAGTCTATCAGCCTGAACAGTCAGAAGATTCCTTAAAGGTAGGTCAAATAACATGGGGAGTGTGGGATCAACACCAAATGGCATACGAGGATTTATTGATATGCCGTATATGTGAAGTTGAAATACCAACAATTCATGTTGAACATCACTCTAGAATTTGTACAATTGCAGATAGATGTGATTTAAAAGGATTACCCGTAAATGAACGGCTTGAAAGAGTTGCAAAGACCCTTGAAAGAATACTTGAATCATGGACACCAAAAAGCACAAGCACTGGGTTGGAAAGTCCTGAAGTGGCAAGAGTGTCTATGGCCAGTTTACCAAAAGAGTTGGATGAGTTGTCACCAGAGCGTAACAGCTTGTCTTTCCAATGTTATGAAGGCATGTTGGATTGCATTTATGAGGCTGATAACTCTTCTCCCTTGGATGATCTCCACTATTGTCCTCAAGTATCATGTGAAAATTTTACCTCTATACCTGATCATATTAAGAAAACCTTATCACCATTGACACCTCGATCACCTTTAGTAACACCACGGACAAGCCAAATAGAGCTTCTGCTGAGTGGACGGAAAACAATATCTGAATTTGAAAGTTATCAGCAGGTAATGATTTTTTGTACTATCTAAATTTTTTCACCTGGAAATTTTTTTATACCATGTTCATTTCAGTTACCACCTTTTCCATCCTGAATATATATATATATATATACACACACACACACACACACGTGTTCCGTGATTTCATATGTCTTTTTTTATGTGACCTCTAGAAAATAGTTCTTATATGAATTGTTGAACTTATTGTAGTTCATCTTCTTTCTTCTTAGTGATCTATATCTTGCATTACTTGGTTTTGCATATTTCATTCTACCCAGACCTTTGACTCTATAAATTCTGCTTTCTTTAAAGCTTACACTAATAGACTAGAGAACAAGAAATGCCAACTACAGTGTTTTATTTTGTAACTCATAAATCACTTTTTACTTTACAAGACAAGGCAATTGTTTTCCTTTGTGATCCTTATGTAAATTCATCCTTACTTGAGCTTTGTGATATAACAGAATTGTGAGCTGTTTCCAACTTTTCTGTACTAGAACACCAACTGCTGATTTTTCCTCTTTTTGTGCATTTAAATTCAGTTCACAGGTTTCAATCAGTTTTAGTTCATTTTCAAACACTGTTTTTAGAAAGTTTTTTTTGACTTAGGCTTTATTTGTTTTCCATTCTACCACATTATTTTTTCTACGGTACTTATTTTCAACTACACATTCTTCATTAGAATAATATTACACGTAAATCAAAAACTTTTCTGTCTTTTTTAACTACACATTTCAATATCAATCACTATTCTATAATACATTACTTACAAATAATGGGGTGCAAACAAGCACTTAATATGTCTTAAATTTCGTTAACTGATGCTTTTGCCTTGTGAGATACAGGTAAATAAGTTTCTTGTTGTTTCTTGGCTGTAATTTATATTTTGAAAAACAATGCTAGCAATCTAACTTTGTAACTACACCATGAAATGGTAAGACAGATTCATAAGCTGTTGGATATTGCTCGATCTGTATCCATTGTCAACAATAATAACTACACTACCTTGGAGTATATGCTCGAGCGTTTAGAAGACCTCAAATATGCGATTCAGGATAGGAAGGTGGATGCTCTTGTCGTTGAGACATTTGGGAGACGCATAGAGAAACTATTGCAGTAAGCTCAATTTTCTCAAGTTAACATTTATCCATTGGTTACTGTATTCTGCATTACATATGGAAATTTTTCTGGTCTGGGGCCATAAGGTCAGTTGAGCCACTGAAGATTGGTTAGGGCTTTGCTTGTCTTGAGAGGCTTGTTGGATAAATTATTAAAGAAACACAAGTTCATATGAATATGAGCTTGCTGAGGCCATTTATATGCTAAAAACACATTCATAATATTCTACAAAAGCTCTAGGATTTCAACCTCGGGTGATATAATCCGAAAACATATTTTTAGTTGTCATGTGATAATAAATGAGAACAATGAATCAATAGAAGAGTCAACTAACCTAATGACCATTATGGATAGCAGCCTAATGTGATCCCTGGGGAAGAGGATCAAGTTGGCCCTTGATGTTCTGAAAATATGCCAGACTATCATCATATGCTGAACACAAATGAAGAATATAGAAGTGAGTGCATTCTGCAATAGTTGACGAGATAAAAGATGACCAAGTGAAGAGCTGATAGTGGGGGATGACACTTTGTTTAATGGAAGTCACGTATTTTAGTGCAATTTCATATTATTACTCTGCACAATGCATGTATACAGTCAAGAAATTATTTAGTGTTGTAAATCATTTCAATCTAGAATTTTAAGCTTTTAGAGAGAGAACAAACATATATTTGCATTATGTTCTCAACATCCCCCGTCCAGTACACACATACATTTTTCTTCAAAGATCTGGAACGAACACAATTTTCATAAGTAGGTAGCAAGAATATACCCTACTTCTTTTCAAAAAAAATTTATTCTTGACTTCAATTTGTCTCTCTTGAACTCGACAGGGAGAAATATGTACTTCTATGTGGGCAGATAGATGATGAAAAGGCGGAGTTATCAAATACCATGGCTGATGATGATAGTAAAATGGAAGATGATATAGTTCGTAGTTTGCGTGCAAGCCCCATTGTTCCATGTACTAAGGATCGAACATCTATTGAAGATTTTGAAATAATTAAACCTATAAGCAGAGGTGCTTTTGGACGAGTTTTTCTGGCCAGGAAAAGGGCAACTGGTGATTTATTTGCTATAAAGGTCTGACTCTATGCCAAGATCAAAAGGTGTATAATCATGAATTTGAGATTGTTTAGACCAGATCATTTTAATTTGGACTTAGGCTTTATTTGTTTTCCATTCTACCACATTATTTTTTCTACGGTACTTATTTTCAACTACACATTCTTCATTAGAATAATATTACACGTAAATCAAAAACTTTTCTGTCTTTTTTAACTACACATTTCAATATCAATCACTATTCTATAATACATTACTTACAAATAATGGGGTGCAAACAAGCACTTAATATGTCTTAAATTTCGTTAACTGATGCTTTTGCCTTGTGAGATACAGGTAAATAAGTTTCTTGTTGTTTCTTGGCTGTAATTTATATTTTGAAAAACAATGCTAGCAATCTAACTTTGTAACTACACCATGAAATGGTAAGACAGATTCATAAGCTGTTGGATATTGCTCGATCTGTATCCATTGTCAACAATAATAACTACACTACCTTGGAGTATATGCTCGAGCGTTTAGAAGACCTCAAATATGCGATTCAGGATAGGAAGGTGGATGCTCTTGTCGTTGAGACATTTGGGAGACGCATAGAGAAACTATTGCAGTAAGCTCAATTTTCTCAAGTTAACATTTATCCATTGGTTACTGTATTCTGCATTACATATGGAAATTTTTCTGGTCTGGGGCCATAAGGTCAGTTGAGCCACTGAAGATTGGTTAGGGCTTTGCTTGTCTTGAGAGGCTTGTTGGATAAATTATTAAAGAAACACAAGTTCATATGAATATGAGCTTGCTGAGGCCATTTATATGCTAAAAACACATTCATAATATTCTACAAAAGCTCTAGGATTTCAACCTCGGGTGATATAATCCGAAAACATATTTTTAGTTGTCATGTGATAATAAATGAGAACAATGAATCAATAGAAGAGTCAACTAACCTAATGACCATTATGGATAGCAGCCTAATGTGATCCCTGGGGAAGAGGATCAAGTTGGCCCTTGATGTTCTGAAAATATGCCAGACTATCATCATATGCTGAACACAAATGAAGAATATAGAAGTGAGTGCATTCTGCAATAGTTGACGAGATAAAAGATGACCAAGTGAAGAGCTGATAGTGGGGGATGACACTTTGTTTAATGGAAGTCACGTATTTTAGTGCAATTTCATATTATTACTCTGCACAATGCATGTATACAGTCAAGAAATTATTTAGTGTTGTAAATCATTTCAATCTAGAATTTTAAGCTTTTAGAGAGAGAACAAACATATATTTGCATTATGTTCTCAACATCCCCCGTCCAGTACACACATACATATTTCTTCAAAGATCTGGAACGAACACAATTTTCATAAGTAGGTAGCAAGAATATACCCTACTTCTTTACAAAAAAAATTTATTCTTGACTTCAATTTGTCTCTCTTGAACTCGACAGGGAGAAATATGTACTTCTATGTGGGCAGATAGATGATGAAAAGGCGGAGTTATCAAATACCATGGCTGATGATGATAGTAAAATGGAAGATGATATAGTTCGTAGTTTGCGTGCAAGCCCCATTGTTCCATGTACTAAGGATCGAACATCTATTGAAGATTTTGAAATAATTAAACCTATAAGCAGAGGTGCTTTTGGACGAGTTTTTCTGGCCAGGAAAAGGGCAACTGGTGATTTATTTGCTATAAAGGTCTGACTCTATGCCAAGATCAAAAGGTGTATAATCATGAATTTGAGATTGTTTAGACCAGATCATTTTAATTTGTTTAAACCTAAAACATGCCAATGAATTAAGAGATTAAGTGAATGAAATTTTGTACTACGGCATTGACATGACATAACCACGTGTTCATGAAAATATTTCCATTAGTAGCACTTCAGTGTTATCAGTGTAATGAGAATAGATAAGCTTTTATGATTGTACTTTAAATAACCTGATGCAGCATTTTTCTATAAACAGTCATTATTGGAAATTTACAGGTTTTGAAGAAGGCTGATATGATTCGCAAAAATGCAGTAGAAAGTATCTTAGCTGAACGTGATATTTTAATATCAGTTCGCAATCCTTTTGTGGTGAGCAGATGCTATATTTTAAAACTAGGTGGAGATTGCACCTACTTTAGTGGAAGTAGAACATAAACCTTGTTTACTAATTTATAATATTAATGTGAACAGGTCCGGTTTTTCTATTCTTTCACATGTAGGGAAAATCTATATTTGGTTATGGAGTACTTAAATGGAGGAGATCTTTTCTCTTTGCTGAGGAACCTAGGCTGCTTGGAGGAAGATATGACACGCATATATATTGCAGAAGTTGTAAGGACTGTAATTATTATTGCATTAAATTACAGATGCTGATTGCTATTTTATGTTTTTCTCCTCAATGATCAGTATATCTTTATTTCTTTCAGGTTCTTGCTTTAGAGTATCTGCACTCATTAAATGTCATTCATAGAGACTTGAAGCCAGACAACTTATTGATAGGATCCTTTATACAGATTAAGATGCTTACATTTATTGTACTCTACTTGGCTCTTGTTCGGTAAAGCTTGTTAAGGTTCGAGCTGGACAATAAACAGATGGAAGATTATGCAGAATTTTGATTGAACTGGAAAAGAATTACAGTAACAGAAAGAAAGATAAACGCCTATAGAAGGCTGATATTCTCAAGCTAACCCCTCACCCACTCTAAAATTTGCCTGCTCCATTCCTTCTTACTTCTATATTTATAGCCCTCATGTAACAACTCTGTCCACATCAGCACGCACTGTTAGCACAATTGTGTTGCTGCCCACTCCTTCTCAATTCTTCTTGGTCCTTGTAGAATCAATGTACCTGATTGGAGGCTTATCAATACCCCTGGGGTCAAAGACACATAGTCCTCAAATATAAATTTAGGAAGTGTTGTAGGAATTTCTTACATCTTGCAATCATCATCTCTCTTCCACTAGCAAGAGACAATCCACCTCTTTTCTCCTATGTTCTTGGCCACATTATTTTGACGATGGCAGTAGGTCCAAGTATTCCAAAGTTCCTAATCATTTTGAGCCCATTCTGCAAATAGATATCAATTTTATCCCTCTTCTCATCTAAAGCAGTCACTCAATCAATCAATGTAACCATCTTCCCAGTTGGATCTCTATAACACAATCCTCTGTCCATCTTATTCGGATCGATATTGTTTAATTCATATTCTAGCAGCCTTTTCTAGTACTACTCTTTCTAATGAAAATATTGAATGTGTAGTGACAATTAACTCAAACAAGTCTATACATTGTTGAACTGATTTGCCTATGATTGATCCACTAGCAGAGGAATTCACCCGAGACTTTGACAATGGTGAAAGTCCGGTGTAGAAGTATTGCACTTCATTACCTATGATGATTCTATGATTTTGACACTTTCTCATCGGATCCTGGAATCTATTTCATGCTTCGTGATAGTTCTCCCCATCTCTATGTTGGGAAGTTTAAATTTTCAATCAGATTTTTGCTACTTTTGTTGGTGGGAAGAATTTGTTGCAGAATTTCCTAGTTAGTTCATCCCATGTAGTAATACTGCCATAAGTTCAGGATCCAACCCTCCAAAGCCGCATTCCTCAATGTATAAGGAAATAAATGCAGTTTGCATCTTTCTAACAATTTTTGGAAAATTTGGAGATATGTGTGCAGTTCTGCCTGAGGTAACCCGTAGAATTGGAGAGTGTTGCTAGTCAAATTGATCCAATTTGCCCTTATCTGAAAATTATTTACTCCAAAATCTGGATATACAATAATAGAGTTCACTAGCACTGCTATGGGCATAAAAAACATTGAGACTAGCAAGTCCACCTCATTTATCTCCAGTCGATCATTTTGCTGATTTTGTTGTGCCGTTATTCTTTTGGCAAGTTGTCCAGTCGGCTGTACAGGAACAGGATTATTTTGATCGTCAGCTATCTGATGTTTCTATTTTTGTTTGTATACTTTGAGTCTTTGTCTGAAGTTATGCCCCTCGTTTAGCTCCCATTAAAACTCATCAATTTAATTTAAATTTTTCTCTCTCCTATTTTCAACCACAAAATCTTCAATAAAATAATATTACACGTAAATCAAACAATTTTCATTCTTTTACAATCATCTATTTTTCCAAAACACTATTCCTCTCATTATAAATCCAAATAGTGGGGGTCAAACGGGGGCTATATTTTATTTTCCACTCAAACGGTTGAAGATCATAGCCTTGGATACGGAGCATATAACGAATTTCTTTTTCTATAAATAGAAGAAAATAAACTAATCAAATAATAGTAAAAAATAAAATAAATTAAGACTAAATGTAAATAGTCACCGATAACGACGTCAAAATTTTGTTGCTTTTTTATTGCAAGTGTATGATATCGTAACAAGTAATATAGTGGACCTTTGAGTCAAGATTATCGTTCCCACGAGAACTAGACTTTAATGCTTAAATGCTTCTATTTACTAATTGACAAAAACAAATGAAGAATTGTGAATTGTTGTGATTTTTGATCTAACTATGTGAAAATAGCAGAATGCACACAAAGAATGATTTAGAATTCAAATATGGATGATATTAGGGCATAACAATTTCATCTATTGATTACCTTTATGTCTAATTTAAGATTTACAAATCTAATGTAATGTTAAATCAAATTCTTCTATTGTATTCAATTTACCCATCTCGAGTTTTCATTGAGCCTAGTTAACTAATTTTATCTCATATCTCTATACGAATCAAGCTTAGTTAAACGAAATATTAGTTCTAAGAATTCATCTAAACCGCAGTAATTAGTTTAGGTATTTCTACACATTATACTAGATTACCGATTTTTAATACATGGTCTAAATCTGAAACTCACATCTTGATTTTGTAATAAATTCACAAAATCATTAAATTAGTGATCAAGTAATTCAAAACGTAAAGTACATAATTAAAATCAACATATAATTAATGAAAGAACTTGCATCTTATATAAAAGAAAGAGGTTCTCAAAAGATTACATTGTTTGCCTTAATAGAAAATTTAGCTACTCATAATAATAGAAGAAAAACTAAAGATTTGTATTGAGTATATCACCAGGTTTTGAATTGAGATGTAGAAGAGGGGATGAATCTTGCTCCAAGTTCTTTTCTTGCCTCCAATTTTGATTTCAAATCCTAGCTCTTGATTTCTTGTTTTTCTCTCTGTTGATTTTATCTTGAATTCTCAAGTGGTATGTTATTCCTCTCAATGTGTAGAACCCCCTTCAAAAGTGTCAATAACTTATTTTTAGACTCCTCTCCACGTTTGTGTTGAATATAGAGATTCTATAGGCTTCAAAATGGGCTGAAAAATGCATCATCTTTCGACTTCAGGCAGCACTGCTGCTTCACAGCTCTGTCCGTTTGTTCTTAAAGTGGCGCCAATGGCACCACATCTTTGTCCATTTATGGTTATGTGGCATCGAGGGGCCACTCTCTCCAAACCTATTAACCACCTTCTCCTGCAGATTTTTCTTTTGTTCTTCTTTTGGTATTATAAATTGACTATTTTGCCCTTTTTCTTTCTTTTTCCCTCCTTTTGATTTCAAGCCATTGTTTTCTCCACTTTTACCAGCATTAACTCCACTTAATTAAACTTATAAAATAACACTAATAAATACATTAAAAACGATTAATATTCATAAGATCTAGCCAAAAATTAAGATTAATAATATAAAACTCTTGAGTAAAACATGCTCGTCATCAAACTTAAATTTTAGCCACATATACCATGGGTCTTACAACTTTGTTGAGAGTTATCGATCCATTTCTATTTCACTAAGAGTAATCAATTCAAACAATGAAAAATTTACACTCAAGAATACGCGAGATTTATAAAGGTTTGCTTTAATATGAAACTACGTCTTTTCTCGCCATGGCAGTAATTTACTATGATGAAAAAAGTTTATAAGAGAATTTTATGGCCTCTCTTTCTCTCTTTTTGATGATAATAATAAAGCCTAAGGACGGCTCTCTATTTATAAGATAAATTAGGGAAAATCGAATTATAAATTTCTAAATAGTCTTTAGATTAAATTTTGGTTAGGGGGCTCTTGCACCCCTTTTAGCCCCCACGGCAACCTCACCATGGAGGTTGATTCTCGAAGTAGCAATAATTAGGCCCTGTTTGGCCCCATTAAAGTTATAGTTTCTTTTTCTTTCTCTTCTTATCAACCACACATCCTCCAATAAAATAATACTCCTAAATTTTTTTTTTTTCTGTTTTAACCACACATTCTTAAAAAAAAAATAAACACTATTTCAACCATTAAAATTTCAAATAATAGGGACCAAATGGAGGCTAGGACTCACAACCTAACAAATTTTTATCCACTTTTTTAATCACACATTTTATGGGACCCATCAACTTATAATTTCAAAAAGCCTCGTCAAAGAGGGGCTTAATTTTCCTTGACAGAGAGATAATTATTATCCTAAATAGTTCATTATTGTAGGTTTCAGAAATGCATTAGTATTACTCTTTGCATTTTAATCTCATTTAGGCATGAAGAGACAAATTTTTGCTTTTCTTACTGTTGATAAATTTGTTAAAGATGAAAATAGTTATTGCTTTAATTTTTTGTATGCATACTTTACTGCGGACTTACAGATCATGTTCCTTTCTATGCAGCAAATTTTTGATAATATTATAAATAGGGACATTCCCTGGCCAAAGGTACCCGACGAAATCAGCTATGAAGCTTATGATTTGTTGGACAAGTAAGTTTTAGGAAAGTGAATTTGTACACTTTCTGATTTGGTATCATCGACTTAAGGTAGTCATTGTATCAAAAGGATGGTGTTAGTTTGAATAATGGATGGTGTATAGTGCTATATAGGTACATGTGAGAGTCGATTCTCTCCGGGGTGAGAGGGGGAAACCAGCCATCCTTGTCACCAGTGATGAAATCTGAAAGCAAGCATTTTGAAATATTTCTACTTGTCGATTGCAATTTTTGCCCTTCTTTAATTTCATGGTTTATTTGTTTATAAGGATAAATATAGCAGTTTTTATTCAAAACAATATCTGCACTTGCAAACTTCAGTGAGCTTGCATTTTTCTGCTGTCTTTCAGGTTGCTGATTGAAAACCCAGTTCAAAGATTGGGTGCAACTGGGGCTGGAGAGGTAACAATTTTGCCACACTCGATTAAAACAAGGTTCAGGATTGTGGTAACAAATGAGATCACTAAAATTATCCCGTTCACTCTCAGGTGAAACGACATCAATTTTTTAAGGATATTAATTGGGACACACTTGCAAGACAGAAGGTCTTATCTACTTTTTCCCCATACTCTCCACCACCCCCACCCCACCCCCTCCATCCCCCACACAGGCAAATTGGTAGGAAAATTCAAAACATTTACTAAACATCTCTGATTTCCCACAGGCTGCCTTCATACCATCAGCTGATGTGCAAGACACTAGTTATTTTATGAGCCGGTACATTTGGAATCCAGAAGAGGAAAATGTTCATGGAGGTAGTGATTTTGATGACATGACAGAGACAGGCAGTGCCTCATGCAGTGGCACCCCTTACAGCAACATGCAGGATGAAGAAGTAAGCATGTGTTATCACATATTATTCTGCTAAGCCTCAGTAAAATGAGTTAGAATCAGATATTCAATTTTATTAGGGATTCTTTCAATTAGATTAACAATCTCCCTTGCTGAATGTATGAGATGACAATGTTTGACGTGCAGTAGGCTTTTGAGCTTGCTGACATCATTTTGGTCTTTCAATTTCAATGTCAAGGTTCGAGTCACTTGTTGTCTACTGATAATACAACAAAGAGTAAATAACTGTTTGGATCAAACTGATATATCAATTTTTTATTTTATTTCAATACAAATGTTCAATTTGCTTCAAGATTTGATTCATTTTGAAGTATAATCATGAAAGATTGGTATGATCATAGTCAGTTCTGAATGACCTTAAATCCAAACCAAATGTGGCCTGTCGGCTATCTCTATTGCTTTTGCGTACTTAATCCTATTACTGATTAAGTTCCGTTGTTTGCCTTGGAAACAGGGGGATGAATGTGGAAATTTGGCAGAATTTAGCCCTGCTGCCCTTAATACGACGTATTCATTCAGTAATTTCTCATTTAAGGTGAGAATCTCCTGAATAAACACTTGAGATCGTTCAACGTTGTCACTCATCCAACTTATAGCGTTGTTCAACTTTGGTCACCTAAACCATTTTATTTCAAAATTAATAACTAAAAATTCATTTTTATTTCTGTTTAGGCACTTCGTCTGTCCCTATATTTTGAATTAACAGAAATGCTGAAATGACTGACAGAACATGTGATATGGCATAGAAAAGCCATTAATGCATTGTTATTATCTTCCAACATGACATGTTTTTCCCAGTTGGATGATGAAAACAATTCACTAATTTTCCTTTAGCAATGCCAACATTTTAGCTAATTGAGCAAAAGGGGCAGACGAAGAACCTAAACTGAAACAAGAATGAAATTTGACCGATTTATCTGATATGAGAAATGGTTTGGCGAACATGTAACAAGTTGGATGACTAACATTGTTTTTAAACCGATGGTTTTCTTAAATGAGGAGAAGCAAAATACATGCTTATTTATTTCCTTCTGTCATCAGAACTTGTCCCAGCTGGCTTCTATCAATTATGACTTAGTTATAAGAAGTGCTAAAGAATCAGCAGAGTCCACAAAACCATCCATTCCATGACAAAATTGTTGAAACATTGCTTCACCCAGTACATTGCTTCTCATAATTGCCACGGGATGTTTAAGATGTGCCAATGTGCTCCGCTGCCTCGATGTGATCGAGTTAATGACCATAAGAGCTGGCAATAGACATGATCCTCTAAGCATATGATAAGAAAAATGACATACACGGAATGTGTAAACCCGCATTTTCTTCCCTTATTTTCTATTCTAAACGAATAGAACGATAAAAGAATTGGTTTATTAACTTAAAATATCCATAAATTTATTGGAAATAATGCTAGTTTGTTGTATTTATGCTTGGTTTTGTATAAAAGTTTTAGATAACACCTCTCGTTTGCCCAAAGCATATATGGTCATTATTCCAGGGCAAGTTGGTACCAGAGGTCTACGAACCTTTGGGTAGGTTCTAAACCAAATTTTCTTCGTATATTTCTATTGATCCCACCTATTTTTCTTCGACTGTAAACCATTATATTGCTTCAATTTAAAGGGTAACATCTGCCTTCTTGAAAATTCAAACCCAACAAACAGGTACTAAAATTGAAAAGAGAAGAGGCATTCGACTACATGTACACGCTCCACACATGGGAGGTTGGCCAGAAGCATTTATTGTGCGTGGGGCCCCTTCCCATGTGAGCGTGTACATGCCTCTTACATGGGAGATCGGTCGGAAGCATTTATTGGGCGTGGGGCCCCTTTTCATGTGAGCCCCAGTACAAATGGCTTTTTCCAAGAGAAAAAATGCCAAGTCAAATTTTCCAATAACTTTAATCACTTAAATTTTAATTTGAGCACCCTTACCTTTGAATTTACTTTTCTTCTTATAAATAAAGCTTTTAAGATTTGCCAAATATGATGGCCTCACTTTGAGTAAGGCTGGCAAATGTTGGAGCCGCATGCCACCTCGCAGGTTAGGCTCATCTGGGCTCGATCTATGGATCGTTCGGGCTCGTATAGAGCCGAGGGTCGAGCAAATCAATAAAAAAAAATTCACGAGCCGAGCATAAAATATGACTGTTTATCATCCTAAACGATCCCATTTGTATTTTATGGCTGTTAGCCAATGGTCATAATGGATTCAAAATCTAGTATTCTACAATACAATTCTTTTTTCACACCATAATTCTCTACATTCTAATCTACAATTTTAATATGGGTTTCGCTCTTTGTATGTGCACCCCCCTTCAAAATAAGGGCAGCCCTTATTACGAGGGACACCTTGATGTACACATAGCAAAATCCTTTTAATATTCTATAATATAATTCTTGCAATCTTCATATTGGCAGTTGGCTATTTTATTGTGGAAATCTTGAGTTTTCTTATTTGAGTTATTTTTGTCCAAATTTCTAATAGTGAATTATATTATATTATTTCATTTCATTCTACCTCTTTATTACATTTATTATTCAAATTTCAAATGGATCATAGCAGATTTTTGGACACTAATGACCCCAGGCTCCTCCATTATATCACGATTTTAGTGATCTTGATGAAATTTCAATTCGCCATGATTTGGGCGATCGCCATAAGCATGGGAGCACATATCTTTTGGATGATTCGTGAACCTAGACCACCGTCAGTGATCATTTATAATGCAAAGTCATAACTTTGATCTTGAGTATGAAAGATGAGCACACGAGACGTGGAAGTGCAAAATTGTTAAACAAGCAAAAAAAACTCTTATTTAAACATGACTTCACACCAAATGAGTGAAAATCACGTGACATGATAAATAGAACATGAAAAGATAACAGATTCAATATATTAAAACTCACGAAGTCATGGGTCATTAAAAGAGAGGGCTTAGTTAACCTCATGGGCTCATCGAAAATCTATAAATTGTCCATAGTTTTAAGCAAAGGAGGATATAGAAAATTGAATACGCACTCTTACAAATAGTCATTTCTATCTCAACTCTCAATTTCGATAGAATTCAGTTTTGAGTTTATTCTCAATTTTTTTGTTTTGAAGGCATGTTTTAAGATTTCTAAAAAACGTGTTTGATTTGTTATTTTGAAAAATCTATTATCAAAACAAAAAACTATAAGACATATTTTGTTTTAAATTTTGAAAAATTATTTTATAACGTTCTATTCTATGAAATTTGATTATTCAGTAAAAACTGAATAATTTTATTTAATCTATTATCTATTAATATATACATTTTATAATTGGTGAATCTTACAAATTTTTTCTTCCTATAAAAGTAAACTAAAAACAAATAATAAATCTAGTTCAAAATATAGTAAATAAAAATAAAAATTAATGACATGAAATGAAATGAAATGAGAATATTTTTATATGTATTCATTTAAATATTTAAACTATGTTTTATAAATTTTTTTTATTTTTTTTGAAATTTTATAGTTCTATTTTTTAATAATTTATATTTTTGATTTTATAGAATTTTATTTTTTTTACAGAAGTTTATTTTCTTAGAATATTAGGTTTTATTTTACAATTTTTTTTTGTATATAATTTTACATTTTAAAATTTATTGTTTAGACTTTTATTTTTTAATTTTTTTAATTTCAAAATTTTATTTAAACACTTGTTTTTCCTATTTTGAATGTTTTAAAATGTTCTTCGAAAAAAAAAAGAGTGGCTTATCGGTTCAGCTAGACCCACGAGGCTCACTAGCCGTTGGCTGAATTGAGTGGTTCTTTTCGACATGATCCTAGATGAGACGAACTAAGGTTTGGTCAAGCCCGATTTGAACTTACGACATCAAGTTTTGGATCCCCATGTTCTATAAATTGGCAGAAGAAATCTGAAATTTCAACTGACTTTTTTTCAACCCTATTGAGTTAGCTCACTACCCCAGAATCCTTGCTTAGTCTTAAAAGTTACTCTAAATCACTGGAATAATAAATAAAAAGCTGCTTTAAGGAGGAAAATTGTGCAATAAACAACTGCACGAATAAATTTTGGAACAGTATACAAAGTAACAAGGATAATGATTGGTGTACACGACCCCTACCGATATCTCACATGAACGGGGTGCGTGGATGAAATTTTTAACATTATTTATTCATACGGGATCCACACTTTTTGAGTTATATGTGTGAAATTTTTCAATACACCAAACATTTTCCAAGTAACAAATGCTTGATTGGGCACATTGTTGAGGCAGGCGAAAAGCATAATTTCGAAGACTTTTTTCGGATCACACGGACAGCATAACATGGCATTATACGTGTTCGACTGAAAGTCTCGCCAAATGTTTGCACCTTAAACTACTCAAAATCGAGCACTTACGATTTCACGATCTAATAATTCTCGGTTTGGAAGTGTGTAAAGAGGTAGCGATGTGGTGGCGCGTAACTTCACTATCTCATCTGGTTGCTTCATCGAAGCCATTCCTTCTCAATCAGGCATGTTTCATGATCTGATTTTTACTCCTAATTTTCGTTTTTTAATCATTTATTCTGTTTTCAGTGAATTTATTTCCCTTTATTAATCAAGCGCTTCGTACCAGTAGATGCGAGCAGCGTATGGACTGAAGATTTGGCAAGCTTTTAGTACCGAAATTTTTAAACCGGTATCAGTTTCATTTTGTTATTCTATTTGATGAGTTAGATTTTCAGTTACTGATGTCTTTCATGTTTGATTTAGCTAATAGAATTCGCGGCTGCAGCGAGTTTAATGTTATTGTTGTTGTCGTTTCATATATCTGGAACTGACGATTCTGAATACTTTGGTTAAGCCATAGGAATAAAATTTGGAAATGTAAATGTATTCTTCGTAAAAGAGTTCCGAGTTACTTACAAAAGCTTATGGAGTTTCACGAACTTTTTTTTTTTAATTTTTAATTTTTAATTTTTTCCTCTCGTGCAAGTTTTAGCATCCAAACACCAGAATTTTTGTCTATTCCAGTGATTTTCTAAGTTTCGATTGGGAGTCCAAGGATATGTAAGCCATCTTAATACTTCACACATGCCTTCATATACTGACCAGTGTCGAGGCCAGGTGAATAAATGTTGGAGGAGCAAAATATATATGTATTATTAGATAAAAGAATATTATTTAAATTCAGTATCAATCAAGAAAAACTAAAAAAATTTGCAGGGCGATCCCCCAGGGAAACCACGTGGATTCACTATTCTGCAGTGCCGATTAATATCAAACTATTGATAATCACTTCTGTTTGATCCTGTTCTATTGATGAATTTATTAATTTGTTCCTTTTCCAGGGATGGTTCCAGAAATAAAGGTTGTGAAATATATTCTGTGCAACATTTAATATCCAGTTCATCATTTCTTTTCGTGTTTTGTGTTGAATTAGCTTGCAACTTCTTGATGTGTAACTGGTTCAGGATTAGCCTAGTTTCTATTTTTCATCATGGGATGTTATTTCTTACTTGGAAAGATGAATTTTTATTTTGGCAACGAAGAAAATTGAATATTTATGTTGTATATTTCCTTTTATGGATGTAGGCAGAAGGTAGACTTTCCAATCCAGGAAGAACCCACCAATTCATAACTTTTGTCTTGGGTAAACGACTTTGCACTATTAAGTGAATTATTTTGAGTACATTATGCTCTTGGTAAAATGATGGCTCAATTTGATTTTTGTTACTATACGGTATACACAATGCTTTCAGTGGAATCGTTTTCTTAGTTTGTCCTTGTTAACATTTCTAAAAGAACTCGGAAATTGTTGTCTGGGTCTCTAAACTAAAATCTATTGTGCAGTATATTTCTATTTAAGTAGTGCTTAAGTAGTTAATGGGTATTGGGACACATTTCTTTCTCATCTTCAATGATTGGAGCCTTGCTTCCATAAAAGTGAACACATGATTGTACCCTCCTTCATATGTGGCAGTTTTTTGAAGTTTTTGGTATGTTTGTGGAATAGCTTCCCCATTGTGATACTTTCTAAAGAATTGGCATAGTTATTGCTGCAACACTACTAAAAGTGCATAGAAATGATGATAATCTTATAATTGTGCTTTTAGGTGGTCCTGGAAGTGGAAAAGGTACTCAGTGTACAAGGATTGTTGAAACCTTTGGTTTTACCCACTTAAGTGCTGGAGATTTGTTAAGGAAGGAAATTACTTCTAATAGTGAAAATGGGTAAAGTATGCCTTCTTTTTGCTGATATAGAGCTATTGTTTAGCATGCTGCATAAATTGCAATGTCGTGCAATGATGGTATCCAATTGCAGTGCCATGATTCTCAACACGATCAAGGAAGGAAAAATTGTTCCTTCAGAAGTGACTGTAAAACTAATCGGAAAGGCAATCAAATCAAGTGAAAATGATAGATTTCTTATTGATGGTTTCCCACGAAGTGAAGAGAATCGTGTGGCATATGAACGAGTTGTGAGTTTCTTTAATTCTCATAGCAACGATTCGTGGGACTTTATTTTTTATTAATTTCCTTATCTCTCCTGTGAATTTTGATAGCAATGCACTACTGGTTTTTAATTCTTGTAAACATATGCTAGATGTGCATGTACTCTCTCTCTCTCTCTCTCTCTCTCTCTCTCTCAAGTGTAATAACATGTATGGCCAAGTTAGAAAGTTTCCACTGTTAATTTCTCAACGATGGCAGCTCCGCTATTATCAGTCTTTTGCCATGGTGTGAGGTATTAGGTCAATATGCAAACCAGAAAATCACCTATACTATTAACTCTTTGAAGGTAGAGGTGAAGCAGTAAATGTGAGAAAAGGTGGGGGTATGATAATCAGTCCCCAGTAATTAATGTTAATGTTGAGCTACAATTGCAGGTTGGCACTGAACCAGATTTTGTGCTTTTCTTTGATTGCCCTGAAGAAGAAATGGTGAAACGAGTGCTAAACCGTAATCAGGTGCTGTTCTTTTAAAAATTCTTTTTCTCCTCTCTGTCTTCCTTCTCTTCTGGCCAAATGGAAATAATTGTGATGTCTTTCTATTTAGGGACGAGTTGATGATAATATTTTTACAGTCAAGGAACGTCTAAAGGTTTTTACGGCATTGAATCTTCCTGTGATCAAATACTACTCTGAGAAAGGCAAACTTTACAAGGTACTAATTTGGTAGATTATCTATGGATATTTATAATTTGGATTGTCCTCTTATAATCAAATGATATTTTTCTATGTTATGGGCTTTGAATGATATAACTTTGTCTGCTTTTCACCTATTCTGATAAAAGAAAGTAGTGAAATATAGTGCCCTTGGTTTCATTTCGTTACTTTGTATGAATGCTTTATCAAGAATAAAATATGCGAGTGTTATAATTACAAAATCAAGTGCAGATTGATGCTACTGGAACAGAAGACGAAATATTTGAGCGAGTCCGCCCAGTTTTTGCTGCATTGAGGTATGTGGTGTAGTGATCTTTTGTCGTACAGCACTTAAATTAATTGGGTGCTTTTCATTGCTCACCATTGGGGAAATGTGTGATGTATAGTCTCAGGAAACGGTTTTTTACTTCAAATTTTCTAATTAGATTCTGCTGCTTGATTTCTAATTTGGTTTTTCATATTTTCTTTTTAACTCTGTCAACCTTGTATGAACAATCTATGCTAATATTGTTTTCCTGTTGTCTTGTACTCCTGTTTGCTGCTTCTTACAATGATGGTTTGCCATTATTCACAAGAAAGTTGGACTGAAGTATTTATCTCAGTGAGAAGTGACTTCTTCGAGACCTTTGTTTTGAATTTATTTACATTTCTACAGGGCAAAAAATTGAAGCAACGATCTCCAGAGCCAAGCAATAAAATGAAAAGTAAATTGAAGAGTTGAGGAACTATACCGAACCATTGGAAGATCCTCCTTTCTGCTATATCCCTTTTTTGGGACAGCAGAGCCACCGGTGATTTTTTCCAAGTCGGGGATCTGGTGACACGCTAACTCTCACCAACCTGCAGGTTAACGAAACTTGTTTTTCCCACCTTTTTTTTTCTACTTTTCCTTTCTTTCAAACGGATATGGATGGAACCCTTACAAAATGCAATGAATTTTCTTCATCTCTTTGCTGGAAGTGGCGTGAAATGCTATAATGAGATTCTTATAATGTGTTTGAAAAGTAAATGTGGATTGAAAAAGGTTCGGAATAGACTTATCAAATGATTCTGCAATTTTAAGAGATGTTTATTGTTGAGAGGATTTTTGTATTTGTAGAATAGATACACATTCCCAGGTTCCGATCCATGGAATTTTCTCATCCTCTTTTTACTCAATATGATGGTAGAAAAATGGACATTTTGTACTTGTGGTAAGAATATATATGCATTTGTGTATATCGGTCATTAAAATTAAGCTTGCTACAATTGAAGTATTCATGGTTGATTATGCATTGCATATTCTCTGAGTGTGTAAGTCAATTTGGGCAGAGAGAAAATTCGCTGCCTTGAAATTCTGCACTTGACGAGAGGATCGAATTTGATGGTAATAATAGGTAAAGGAAGAAATTTAATCTTAGAATAGTTGCAGGATTGAAATAAATGAATCTAATTGTTGAAGGACATAACTTGATGTTCCTAATAGTTAAGAGGATGAAATTCGATGACTATAATAGATGAAGGACCGGATTTGATATTTCTAATAGAGGGACTAAATTTGATTTTTTTTTTTTTAATTAGTTGAAGGGATGAAATGAATGATTGTAATATATGAATGACGGAAATTGAAGATGGTAATAGTTGAAGGAGAAATTTGAAGATTAAAATAGTAGAAGGAAAAAATCTGAAGATTGAAATATTAGAAGGATTGAAATAAATGAATCTAATTGTTGAAGGACATAACTTGATGTTCCTAATAGTTAAGAGGATGAAATTCGATGACTATAATAGATGAAGGACCGGATTTGATATTTCTAATAGAGGGACTAAATTTGATTTTTTTTTTTTTTAATTAGTTGAAGGGATGAAATGAATGATTGTAATATATGAATGACCGAAATTGAAGATGGTAATAGTTGAAGGAGAAATTTGAAGATTAAAATAGTAGAAGGAAAAAATCTGAAGATTGAAATATTAGAAGGATAGAATTTCAATTGGTAATAGTTGAAGGATGAAATTTAATGAATAGAATAGTTAAAGGATCGAGTTTGAAGATTGAATAGTTGAAGGACCAAATTTGAAGATTCTAATAGATGAAGGACCAAATTTGATGATTGTAATAGTTGAAGGAACGAATTTGAAGATTGAAATAGTTTAAGGATGAAATTTGAAGAATTTAATAGTTGAAGTATCAATTTTGATGATTGTAGGATCAAATTTAACCCTAGTTTGATGGCCATTTTATTGTGTAATTATGATATTTTGAATAGTAATTTTTTGAAGAATATGTAATTAAAAAGTAGAAAAATGATTTGAATTTAGATGCAAAATATTTTATTGTGTGAATGCACGATTGAAAATGAATATGAAAAATGAATTGTTTTGTTTTAAAATGAGTCAAATAAGGGCTTAATGATTGTAATAAATGAAGGATCGAATTTGAAGAATGAAATAGTTGAAGGATAAAATTTGAACATTCCAATAGTTGAATGACCGAATTTAAAGATTGAAGTAATTGAAGGATGAAATTTGAAGATTCTAATAGTTGAAGAATCAAATTTGATGATTAATATGAACCTTTGAAAAAGACAATGGTCCTGATTCATCATTACTCTTAGGGTCCGCTTGATTATAAAGATGGAATTGAATTGCTTGGAAAACGAATTTCAGGGAATTGAATTGTCTAAAATTGTTTTCCCTGAGAATTGTAAATTGTTGTGCTTGATTGGTTTAATTTTTCACGTGAAAAATATTTAAATAAAAGTATTCTTTGGTGTTCATTTGGTTTTATTTTACATGAAAATTGTCAATTAAAGGGATAGATTTTATTGGTATTGAGGATTAAATTTGTTTCCATTGCCAGCACAAAAAAATAAAAATAAAATAAAAATAAAAAAATTCAAGAAAATCATCTATCTTTCGGTGTTTGTTTGTCTTTGTTTTACATGGAAATTTTCGTTTAAAAGGAAATATTTTTTTACAATAATTTTTAAAATTTGTTTTCATTGTCAACATAAAAAATAAAAAATAAATGTTACAGTAGGTAGGAAAACCAATTCCCACCATGTATGGAAAAAAAATGTATCCAACACCTAAAGTTGGAAAATCCAATTCCAATTCTATTTCCATCCTATCAAACACACCCTTATGGTTATGAACAAATTCAACGTGTAAAAGTTTTCAAAACCTTTTTCACTAAAGATTGAAAAATTTTTTTTTTCCTTTTTTTTTTTTTTTT